GGGACTGAGAGGCAACGTAAGACGTAAGTCTTATAATATCTATTTAGACAACGTGGCGTAATCATTGAAAGATTGTAGAACTTGTTTGTTGGTCAATGATGATGAAAAACATATCAAACTTGTAATATTCATAGTAATAATTTTTTACTTAAATTGTACTTAGCTATGTATTATTTGAGATTTTTAACTAAAATTTAATCTAACCTAACCTCGAGGGGGAGTAAAAAAAAATGAGTTGTCAAGTTTTTCGAGTTCTAGAGCTGTTTGAGTTATTGTGACTCGACAGATTAGTTTATTTCAATCGAGTAGGTATAACAAATTATAAATCAACTCTTACATCTAATTTAATTTATCTTTTTTAAGGACTATCATTCTTAGAGTATGTTATATTTTAATAACTCATTAACCACTCGTTTGAAGAAAATTTTCAAAAAATCATTTGATTCATAATTTACCACTCTTAATGATTTAAAAAAAATCTATATAATCAGAGTGTGGTTCAATATACTGAAAAATTTCAAAAATCAGAATTTCAATAATTATTAAATGAGAAAATGTGGGCGAGCATGCTTCATAAATGACCCTGTAGGGCTGTAGATAAATTATGTTGTTTCAAAATGTAATGTGGATATTAGCTAGTAACAGTTGTTAAGCTTTGATCACTCGGTGTCCCATCTGCATTACCTTTCTTTACTAAACTAATTACAATCAATAATTTGTCTCTTTGTGTTCAGATATACTCGTATTTGAATGTGTATACAATATCGGATATAATATATGAACAAGCTATCATATAGTAGGTATCATGTTTTTTCGAGCATTCGAATGGATCTAAGAAATGTGGATTTGGAGGAGTGTACGACCAGCTTTGGGTTGTGCTTAAGCTCAACCACTTTATGTCACGAACGGAGTATACTTGCAATGAGCTAAAATGTAGTTATGGATAATATTGAACACTTCAGTAATGTACCTATTTTGCCTATACAATTCGCCGGGAAACACATTTTGTTTATGCGAAAAATTTAAAACAATAAAATTAATAATGTTATAATATCATCTACTACTAACTACTAGCTGTATTACCCGGCGTTTCTCGGCGGATAGAAGTGACCATGAATATTTTTTTTTATCTCATTTTAAGTTCATTGTTTAAATATAAAGTCATAACTTATAACTAATGCTATCGGTAAATTTTTTTTAACACGTCATAATTTGTGTACTGCAGTGTCGGCCTGGCATATAAAAGGCCTCAGCCGCAATTTTTCTCTGGGGCCTCGATTTTTTTTCTTCATTTACTAGGTATATATGAACAAGGTCGTTCCTAGAGTTGTTGTATATCCCCCCCTCCCCGCTCAACCAACCAAAGTGTTAATGAATTATTTTTTGTAAACTAACTTATGATATATTATGTCAGAAATCAGAATTCAGTTTTTTTCTTATGAATAAAAAAAAAAAATTACTATAGTTGTATGATTAAAGTGAAACCTGTATAGGGAACAGCACCGTATGATGCTGACCAATTATTAACGCTTACTTTTACCTCCCTCCCACCACTCACCAAATAGTCGCTCGATTAAAATTTTTCCACTTTTACAATTCTCTACTAAAACCAAGTATTAACTTCTGACGTGCTTAATGATACACATGATTTTAATAAGTTACTAAACAAAATGTAATTCAAATTACGAAAAAGATATCATCCAAAATATAATAAAGAAGACGAACAATGAACAAAAGTTGACACAACATTATTTTTAAAGAAAGTAATAGCTAAATATAAAAAACTTAAATACTAAATGAGCAATTCATGTAACTTTTTGATGACTTAGCTATAGTATCAATAATTTGAGTTTCCTGAATCTTTTTCAATTGCAATAAGCATTAAAGGCGATAAATGTTGTTGACTTATTGTTGATCTGATTTTAGACTTCACAAGTTTCAGTTTAGAAAATACCCTTTCACAAGTCACTTGAGTAGAGGGTAAAATTAATACATATTTATAAACTGTAAATAAATTATGAAATGAGTTTGAATGAAATGAAAGTTCTTTAATTACTTAACTTAATTGTTCTTACTTCTTCATTTCGATGTAGCGCTAATGATAATAATTGATTAGACAATTTATCAAACCTATTGTACGGCCATACGGGGGCCCCACACATAGACGTTATTGACTTATTGTATTTGTACTCGTTACGATTTTCCCAACAATTTTGTTGTACCTGTGGACTGTGGGCTATAGCAAACCCTGTTGTACAAAAAATCTTATGTGCGTTCAAATCATCTCGTTTATCATTACATTTGTACTACACCTTATACGAGTAAACAGCACACCGCACACGTATACACCATGACAAAATATAGATTCTATTATATCGTACTAGATAGTAGATACGTGTTTTTAGTGATTGTACACTACACTCAGATTCTATAACTTATACACAGGGCCGGATTTAGGATGGTGGGGGCCCTAGGGCCCATCATATGGCCATATAAGGTTGACATATAACTTACTGCATAAGCTGAAAGGTAATTATCTCGTAGGGACCTCTTATTAATTGAATCTTGTGGGGCCCCGGGCCCCGTGGGCTCTCTCTAAACCGGCCCCGTTTATACACTTCGTCAGTAGCGCAACTAGGCCAATTGTCACTTTCAATGAAGGACTCTATTAAAGTTTTTTACGATTATTTTTGTGAATAAAAATTGGGGTGGTCATATTGATTGTAAACATTGTTATCCAAATCTAATATGGAAAAACAATATTTTTAGTTAAGACTTCGGCTGGGGCCCCTGCAGCCTGTGGGCCCCAGTGATCGACACTCCCTCGTTCATCGTCGTACATTTAATTGTACCGTATATTTGACGCTTTGTAGACTACTCTACGTTGGGGTGGTGGTCCTGGCCACTATTTATAAACTAAAAAAAAAAGCTCAGCGCCTCGGCCGCGTTCGCGGCCCTGGCCAGGCCGACACTGGTGTACTGTAGTATTATCTCACACTTCGTACTTGAAAATTGAAATAATAATATAATTTAGTCAATTATAGTTTAAGTACATTTTTTTTAATACATAATTATTTGTTGATGAACTATAACTGTCTTGACTTTTGATAAAAATATTAACTACTTGTTTATTTTTTAATCTGTAATTTGGAAAATGAATGTATTAAATTTTTTTTACTTATACATACATACATACATGGACTACTTATATATAAAAACACACTCAATTAATTCAGATGAGATTTTTTTAAAAACGACCTAAAGGGAATTTGTTCCTTGTCCTGACCTGTTCAAATTTGATATTTTTAAAAGAAGCTAGTGTTGATGACATAGCCAAGGCATAAATATAGCCATATAGGGTTAACATTTTACTACTGCAGGAATCTCCTTGAAAAATGTATGCAAGAACTGTTGTAATAATATATACAACATTTTACCAGCAAGCCTTTAAAACTAAAAAAAAGGACTAAGCACCATTTGTGCAAATTGTCTATGTGTAAGTATAATCCATAAATACTATTGATCTTCCATAAAATGGGGTACTTAACTCTTAACTTACGGTGTAAATTCTGACAAAATAGTTTTTAATTTATATTGAATGTTTCTGATAAGGTAATTGAAAAATTGAGAACATTGTTTCGGATTGTTACAAACTATTTCAAAAGAAAAAACTAAATTTGTCGATATATTATCTACCTCCAAATTGGTACTACCGAGGTAGGTAAATGATCTGTACTCAAGAACTGAAAAACTTTATTCATTTAATTCAAAACTGATAATAGTCATAAAACATGGTATGTTAATGTAATTGAAGTGTGGTTTTTTTTCAATAAATTTGTAATTTTATACACTATAAATGAGTACAAAATACAAATTAATCAAAAAAAATCCAGAGAGTAAAATTGATAAGTTTAAAAAATAGTGTTGTATGTGTAAATTCGGACACCATTTATTTAGTGTATGATAATACATGGAACATTTTGTTTAGTTCTTTTGTCATATAATATTAATTAGTATTTCTTACACTTTTACATTTTTTCTTTTAAAACTATAAAACTATTTTTATTAAATTATTCTTATATTTCAATTACAATTTGTTAATGAACTAACACTAATAAATGTTTTTTTTCTTAATATTTTACATTTTAGTGTCTAAATTGGGGACGTTTTAACAGTATTAGTTATTCAAAAAGCCACCATTGCATTCATGGCTCTATACACTTCTTTGTTTTTAGCTCTTAACTATTGTAAAAATATCTTATTAAGTCTTAAATTCAGCTGTTTTAGCAGGCCAAAAATTATAGTATGGAATTTTAGGTATGTAAATGTATAACCTCAGTACCACATTTTACGCCTCTGATAAAAAATAGAAGTTTGCACCACCAGTTTTTCTCAGAGAAAAAAATTACAATTGAAATATTTCTGTGCACCCTTCCCCACATCTATGAAAAAGATTTCTATGTTTTTGTTTGAATTTGATTTATTCTAGTTTTATGAACTTTTATTTCAATATTTGACACTCGTTCTAACAAATATGTTGATGCTAATCGTAAGAGTGACTAGGTTATGTCTTCATAACGTCTAAAATATTATTATCTTTACTTATCTTGACATTTTATAAAAATTAGTTTATAAGAATAATTTCTAGAGAATGTCATAATAGGCTTTTAATGATATTTTAATGAGGCGCATCTATGTAAAATATTACAATTTAAAATCCTCAGAACTAGCTATATTGCACGTGGGTCAGACTGAGAAAAAACAAAGTTTGCTAACATCCTCTTAATGAATTAATACAATTCAAACATAAATATCACTGTATAAGTTTAATTAAATAATAAAAAATTGTTAATAATGTTACATATTTTCATATAATTGCATTATTCAAATTTGAGTAAAGAATACAATTAAAACTTTGAACAAGTCATTTACCTAATATACTGACAACACCATTAAACATTATCAATTTGTAAATTATTTGTTTGATGAGGTCCTTGTATTCATAAAGTAGTTCCAGTTGTTATTAAGTCCATACTTTTCATCATAAAATTTGTGTTAAGAATTTTCCATGTGTTTTCTGCTTGAGGATCTTCTCTAAGTATGAATTGCTGTTCAAACATTCCAACAATTCTTCCAACACCTTGATGAAGTGTACCGCCAATATGCACCTTTACTAAACCGTGTGATTCTTTTTTCCATTTAACATCACCTAAATGTGGTGAAAAAAAGAGTAAGTGATTTTTCTTGATACCTAATAAACATTGCAATGTAGATGTAGAATCTTCACAAGTCTCATAGATTTCATCTTTGCCTCCAAGAATTTTCAATGACATTGTACAATTTTCATAAAAATGATGACAGTCCAGTTGATTTTTTCCTGGATTACCAAGATCATTTAATAAATCATAAAAATGTTTAGCAAATATTGAAATAAATTCTTCTAGTAATTCATTATCACGATCTTTTCGAGATTTTGTATTGGGTTCTAGTGCACTAGTAATTGGTGTTGGCATAGGCATCTAAAAAAAATATATAAATTATTCTCACAGTCAATATTAAAATCAAAATCTGGATTCTCTTGAAACGCTTAAAGTATTGTTGTTTTTATACCTATACATAATAAATAATTAAATTTATCAAAAAAATAACACTATAATAGCCAATAGGCATTAGTTTTAATTATATGATATTATTTTAAACCCACTTGAGATTCAATGATGTATACTCTGTTCTAAAGGAGAAGACACCTGACTTACGTAGCAAAACGTTTTGCCCGTGGACGCCTGGTGACTTCTCTTTTGGAACAGGGTATAGCCATCTAGGTACAGTTATAATAATTCATAGTACCAACAATATTCCAGCATTATATTATATATTACTGTTTAAAATTGTACCTACCTATTTTTTTGTAACAATTTCAAACAAACATAGTATGAAAAGAACTAACTCTCTATAATAAATTGGGCTACATATTATAATAAATAATATGAATTAAAAGATAAGCATTAAAAAAATACCTGTCTTACATAGTGGTCATGATTCATGGTTACTAAAAAAAATAACTTGATTTTTTTTTTTTTAATTACAACATACTAGTTGGACAGCAGCTGCTTGATATGGTTGAGTATGCATCATATTGTTATTCTGAGAAACTTCAAGCATATTATTAGAGCCAGACATTTGAATAAGTTGTACTGGCGGTCTGATATAATCTGGCTGACTTTCGATTAATGACTTAAAAGCTAAACACAAATCTGCTTTAGTCATATTAGTAGTAGGTATTAAACCCTTTGAAATTAAAAACTTCAACAACGTAGTTATTTGCACTTTTTTATTGGATAATAGCCGCACAGTAGGTTGAGACAATAGTAACAATTCAGCATCTAAAACATATAACAAGTTATAATGAAGAACTTTAACATATTGTATGGAACATAAATAGGTATAACATAAAATGGAACGAATGCAGTTTGCTCCTAAGCGATTTTTTTTTTCAAAATGTGTGTTTTTGCATGCCTAATTTGATGGTATTTTCAAAAAAAGCCAGTCGAACTTATTTTGGAAGTTATGGTCAAAAAACTTAAAAATGAATATTTTTTCAAAAATCGTGTTATTGAATTTAAAATACAAAAGATTTAAGATTTTAGAATTTTTTTTTAGAAATGTTTGTATTTATATGCTCAACAATTTGGTGGAATCAGAATTTGCTTCCAAACCAAAAACCTATTTATATTATTGCTCATCGAATGAAAAAAATCAATTTTGAGTTTCTCATATATTATGCAAATGTTTGAAATAACTTTATAATTCAGTTTTATGTGGTTTAACAATAACATAAAAAGTAAGTACTATAGGCAAATTCTGAATCCACCAAATTTCTGAGCATATAAATACAAACATTTCTAAAAAAAAAAATTCTAAAATCTTAAATTTTTTGTACCTATTTTATATTCAAAAACACGATTTTTGAAAAAATTAAGCATTTTGAAGTTTTTTGACCATAACTTTCAAAATAAGTTCAACCAGCTTTTTTTGAAAGTACCATCAAATTAGGCATAGAAAAATACATTTTGAAATAAAAAAATTCCAAAAGCTCGCTTGGGAGCTAAACTGCATTTATGCCCATAAAATATATAATTATAGTACATTCTGAGTTTTAATATTTTGTTTAAATTGAATTAATTATCTCATCGCAGTTACAATATTACATAAAATTTAAAATGCTATTGTTTTACCTTCTCTGGTATTTGCAGATATTCCACCACCATGGTAGATGGATCGGACGATTTTGCATAGTTCATTTGTTTCAATCCCATCCAGAAATTGTTTCAATAACCGTTTCTCACAATCATAAGCCATTGGAATGTCAAAGGCAGTGGCTATTTACACATTAAACGTCCGACGTGAAACTATATTAGTATAATATGCATAGCATAATTTCAAACTTGCCATGAGAGTATCATGACATTATACCTAGACAACTAGTAAATAATTTAAATCATGGAGATTCGAAACTCGAGAGCACGACTGCATGAGAGCATGAAACTGATCTATTCAGTGCTACAGAGTGTTGCAGTAGTCGTACTCGTACACACAACGGGCTACAAAAGTTTAAAGTACAAACCATGAACTAAGATAATAATAACTCAAAATAATTTCTTTATTCTGTGATAATAACATGCATTATCTTAAGCCATGCACAAACTGACACCGTTACCCCGCGTCCGAGTGTACAATCACCACCCAACCAGCAGCTGCTGCACAACACCCAAGGTTTATAGATAATTATTATCTGCACAACACCCACCACCTGACGATAGAGCTGCCTGCAACCTGGTGTTCCTGTGTGTGTGTGTATGTGTGTGTGTGTGTGTGTGTGTGTGTGTGTATGTGATTGTGATAACGACGTCTACCAAGACGACGACGACGACGGCGACGACGTTGTGAGATCATTGGATGACGACATGATGTGAAAATACGTACGAAACTACGAAAACGGTGTGTAAATAGAACTCGACGTCGTGAATACGTGATAGCGATTATATTGTTCAATTATTATTGTTGTCATTACTCATTACTCATAACTCATAAGTCATAGTGGCGTAGTGCCTGTAACGGTGAGTGGCGACGAGATAAAAGAACAGAAGAAATAAAATTAAAAAAAAAACCTTTGCACCTTCCATCACTCTTACCTTCGGACGGACGTTCATCGGTATTAATTGCGTATTTCCCGTGTATAAATAAACGCTTCGTTCGTCGGTTGACAAAGGAGAAGAAGCCTTTCTGCTGGTCTGCGTTGGAAACGCTGCCCAAGGTTCCTCCTAAATAACACTCTTCGTCGTTGGTGATGTCGACACCGTCACTAACAATCGACTGTCGCGTCTAAAGTAGTTTCGTTTTGGTTTTTGCGACATCGATGGTCCAGGATCGCAAGTCCTACCACAACATAAAACCCAAGACCAAACGACAACAGGTAAGATATTTTAAAAATGGTTTCTAAGAATAATTGTGTGTGTGTAGTCATTTGTTTACTCTCATTTAAAAAAAAAAATCATTTTCGTTCTTAGTTATGCCGATCCAAGCTCCTCAGTGGACCGATTTCCTGGCATGTCCGGTGTGCTGTAATGGTTTCGACATCAAGACCCGACATCCCATCAGTTTGGGATGTGCTCACACTGTGTGCAAATCATGTCTGTCAAATCTACCCAAAAAACAATGCCCATTTGATCAAGTGAGTTTGAAATTATATATTTATAATCGACAATGTTTTCGGTTTACAAATTTTGTTTCATGATTTGTTTAATTAATTTATCATACAATTATTAAATGTCACTGTTAAGCTTTTTACTGTTTGGTACTACAACAGTACTTGAGTTGAATGAATCGCAATAGATAATGATAATAATATGTATTATTGATTTTACATTGGAGTTTAAAATAAAAATTGGACTGTGGTCCATTACATCAGTTTAAAATAACTGCACTTGATTTTACTTCAGTTTTGGTTTAACACGTTCATCACCAAAAAGTATTTACGATAAATGATATTTTGTTTGTTGTAAATTGTGAATATCAGCCGCTGTTTTGTTTATCTCAGTTTGTGTATATTTCTATCAGACTTTTCCACCTAAAAGCTATTATCTTAGAACACATTTAATGCAATTGTATTGATGTCAGCTATGTCTGATAGACACACTATTTTATGGTGACAGACACACTAAATGTGAAAATTATTTATTAACTACCTATGTAGCCAAAAATTATTGTTTACGTGTTGGTGTGAATTGTTCCTCTGCCAGATAAAGTACATAACATTTGGATAAAAACTTGACATTTTTTGTTATTAAATTATTGAGTTATAGTTTAAGTAATATTGCACAAACTCTTATTGAGACATTGAGTATATCAATAATGATGAATATTGAAAATAAGTTAGTATTAATAAATGTATTTTGTTTTTTCCGGAATTTATTATTTAAATTTAAATAATTTAACTATTCAGGTTTAAAAATATAACAATTCTACCCTACATACCCAATTAAAACTATAGTTTATACTTTAAATACATTTTTTTTTTCAATAATCTTAAAATGTTAATTTCTTTGTATTAATAGTTGGCTATTATTCTTATCCAAAATTATTTCTATTTGTTAGATACCTATCATATATAAATATAGTTATATTTTCAATAATTATTTTAATGCTCTCTACGATTTGAAAAACTTAGTCATCGAGTAAATGTCTTTCTATTTGTAAGCATTGAAACTATTGAATGTTGATTATGAATATTAAGGTGTGCTCTCTATTTTCTATAATCTGCAAAGACTGAAGTTAAGTGTAAAAATATTGATGTCTTCTCTTTTGTTTATTTGCCTCAGTGTATAAAATAAGTAGGTCATAAATTAGTAATATTACCTATTACCTATATCTATCATAATTCATAAAATATTTATTTATGTTAGACTGTGTAAATTATTATTTCTTCATTTTTGATAAAATTATAATATATATTGGTAACTTTATGTTCAAGAAGGAAAACAATAAATAGGTATTATTTTGAGATATCAATTTACTGTTATGGTGTTAGAAGAAAATTTTTTCATATTATAGATATCAAGGTTCGAGTTACCCAAAATCTAGTGTATATTTCATTATACATTCCTATATTTTATTTTATTGAACAAATAATAAATTATTATTGTTGTAATTACAATTTTATTTTATTATACTATCTATATCATCAGAAAAAAAATGGTACTTAAAGTCATTAGAATATATTCTTGTATCTACTACAAATTGTCATGTATTTTTTTTTTATTTGGGTACAATTTATTTAGTTAACTACATTGTTACATTTTTTTTACAGAATTTAATAAATATAGAAATCGATCAGCTACCAATCAATTATGCTCTACTTCAATTGGTGGGAGCATCAATACCAAACATTGAAAACATTCCAAAATCCATGATAAAGAATATGTCATCTGATGAACGGCTGTTATATAATAAATCAAAAAAATGTGTGGAACATCTTGCATTATACCTTAAATCATTTGCAACTGGTATTTATTTATTTTTTTAATTTGATAAACTGTATATTATATAGCACAGATAACTATTTTAATATACTTATTAGGTGGTGGTCAGTCAACAAGTGCGGGACTGTCGCGGCCTATGCAGCGTAAATTGGTGACTTTAGTTAACTGTCAACTTTTAGAAAACGAAGGCCGTATGAGAGCCATCAGAGCAGCCAGATCTCTAGGCGAGCGTAGTATGACAGAACTTATACTGCATCATCAAAGTGCTCAACAATTATCTACAAATTTATGGGCTGCTGTTCGAGCTCGTGGTTGTCAGTTTTTGGGACCAGCCATGCAGGAAGAAGTATTAAAACTGGTCCTACTAGCTTTGGAAGATGGTTCTGCATTATCGAGAAAAGTCTTAGTAATGTTTGTTGTTCAAAGATTAGAACCACATTTTCCTCAAGCATCTAAAACTAGTATTGGTCATGTTGTTCAACTACTTTACAGAGCTTCATGTTTTAAGGTATGCTAATATTTGAGCAAAAGTTAATACCTATTACACGTGTTAGCTTATACTGAGTATTATATATTAGAAACCATGTTTTTAATTATATAAATATCAATAAAATTTGTTCGATATAAATTATTATCCCCTATATAACTTAAAAGCATTAATTAATGTTTTTAATTTTAAAGTAATCTATTCCATAATTTTTTGTTATATTTGAAAAATGGAAGTACGTTTTATAAAAATCACTGGTTTCTTCATATTGAGATTGATTATAGGGTCAATACTTATTTAGTTAATAACTATAGCACATGTAGGTGTATATTATTTATTTATTATTGTTGGGTTTCTCATAGATATACCTTTTGAAGTAAATAAAAACGTATACTTAATTTAAACTATGTATTTCATAATATATTGTTTAGTCTATTAAAGTTCTAAGTTATTTGTGTTTATTTATGATATTAGTCTGCCCTTTTTATTTTATTAGGTTTCTAAGCGTGATGGTGATTCTTCATTAATGCAGTTAAAAGAAGAGTTTCGTACTTATGAGAGTTTAAGACGTGAACATGATGCACAAATTGTAGAAATTGCTACTGAAGCTGGACTTCGCATAGCTCCTGACCAATGGTCAGCACTTCTCTATGGTGATTCAGCCCACAAATCACACATGCAAAGTATTATGGATAAGTTACAAAGCCCACAGTCATTTTCACAATCGGTCCAGGAACTTATTATAGCTTTACAGCGGACTGGTGATCCAGCTAAATTATCATCGTTAAGGTCAAATTTTGAACTTTTGGCTGCAGTTGATCCTAATCCAAGTGAGTTATTTTTTACTTTGAGTATTTGTATTCACTACAATTTAATTTGTATTCAACATAGGTCTGGAATGGTGTACTTGGGAACAATTGCATTCTGTTCTTGAAAGTGCTAGAATAGTAGTAGCCGGTTTGACTGACTTTGTCAAGTCCCATGGCAATACTAATAAAGGATTAAAGAACGAATCTGTACAAAACCAAACAAATGTACCTAGGTATAAAGTCAGTTTATGCAGAGATTTAATGATGCGAGGTACATGTCCAAGAGGTGGTGGTTGTACATTTGCTCATTCAGAAGAAGAATTAGAAAAGTAAATATTATTCTACATATTATTTAAGTATTCATGTATGTATAATCTTATATAATCGTTATTTTAACCTTAGGTACAGGAATAAGAATCGGAAGAACAGTCGATTGGCACCAATGATTGTTGATCATGAATATTTGACAAATAAACCTAATTTTATGCCAAAAGAACAGTTTGATTTCATCCATAATAAAAAACC